TACCATATTAGGCATTCTCCAGTTTGGTGCTCGTTTTATGCCTAACCAAATCATGATGAGACTGAATGCATAAAAAGGCAACGAAATCGTACGATTTCTCAACATGGAGAAAGTTTCGCATCTATTGATGATCATTATAATTTATAACTCATTGTACTAGAAAGCTAGATCAGGTAAAATAGAAAAACTCCATAACATAAATAAGTGGAAGGTGTCTCTCAAGCCATCCCTCATAACACCTGGGGGAAGAATGATCAATTATAATATATCATGTGTAAATTTATAATTCTACAGAAACACTGAAAAAGCTGGTCTAGCTAGGGTTACTTGCTAGGGTTTCAGGACCATCGGAGGTCCAGTGGGTTAAAAAAACTGGTCAAGGCAAAGGTCAAGTTAGTTTCTGAAAAATGGTGTCTTAACACCATTTCAATTTTAAGCCATTCTTCTCCAGATTCAGTGATTTCAAATACAAGGGAAACACATTCAGATATCAAATATCATAATAACTAAAAAGCATCCAAACTCACTGACTTGATATCATTGAAAATCTCAACTTCGACTTGCTGATTAAGATTTCTCATGTTTCTCAACCCAAACAAGAAAAAAAAAATTAAATACCGAATTTATAGTAATCAAAATCAATTAGAAAAGAAAATGTGATGTCTTTGGCTAGTTCTATGCTAACAAAATTACTTAGAAAAACAAATTTGTTGTTTCAAACAAATAGGATAAATTCATACCACTCAACATGAAATATATGTATACGTACGTATGATATCTGCATAAAATAAAGATTATGGTATACATAAGAACTTACGCGTGTAGTATAACTAGAGGAAATTCAGCACTCACAGTAACAAGAAGAGTCAACCTTGGATTTCGTCCTTGTTCAAGGTCGAATCGAGAGAGCTAGGGTTTTGGGTGTGTTCTCTTATGCGCGAACCCTATAAAAATACAGGTCTTCATTTTGTGTTCTTCTACATAACTTGGGAAAAGGGTTATATATCCAAGCTAACTACAATTCTAATTAACTATGGTAAACAAAAATGAAATCCCATAAAATAAAATAGAGCAAAAATTAATATCCTCTTCATTTTTTTTTATCGATCCCTACAATACTGTAAATAAAAGGCCTTGCCAAATGCCAAAAATTATTAATAAAAGTAAGTAAATTATTTATTCCTTTATTCTATTATTTTTTTTCCAATCTCAATCACAAGTGTAGCATGTATAGAGTCTATAGACTGCTAGTGAACTATAAACATAAATTTGACATAAATAAAAATTGATTTGGGTTATTTGAAAGGCATAGCCAATTGCCAAAATAATTAATAAAAATGGTATTTTTTTTGTTACAATATTGGCAATATGTCAAATTCATGTTACAAATTTTTTTTTTTATTAGACGTGATTAATTTAATTATAATAAAATATAAACTGCAATGCGGTCGTTTCAGACTCCTTCATAATACTAAAACAAATATTAGACGTGATTATTTGATTATAATAAAACAGAAACTATAATGCAGTGTCTAAATTCATGAGACTGAAGAACGAAAATTGCAATTCAGTGTTTGGCTGGAATTTAATTAAAACATGCCAAAATCAGATCTGTAGAAATTTTATTCCTAAAACAATTCCAAACGGCATGCGTTGTGTCATTATGTCATAACCAATGGTGGGAGATAAAACGGATTCAGAGATAGCACTAGTAAGATAACTAACCGCCAGGTAGTCTTGATGAATATTCAAAGAGGATAAGCAGGATTGGGGATAAGGAGTCCAGCGGCGGCATCTGTTGCTTTGTAACAAGGAATGGCTTCATCTGGCGAAGCCAAACAAGGTAATTGGACTCGGTGAATTTGAGAAAGTGGGTGGTGTTGGGACCGGGGAGGGAAGAAGGAGAAGAAGAAGAGGAAGACATAATGCTGAAAGGAAAAAAGCCCTAGACCTAGACGCAGGGATGATAGGGAAAAAAAGAGGTTGACGTTGGGGAGAGAAAAGAGAACCCCAGGACGTAGTTATCAGAAATATTATTCCTTAATCAAATGTGTATACAATGCTTACAATATATAGGGTATTAGATAACCCATATTTGATGGGAATTTAAATATAACTAGCATATGAGAGAAGAAGAGAGCGAGAGAGAACATGGAAGTGGGATAAAGAGAAGAGAAGAGAGGTTTGTTTTTTATATTTTTTTAATTAGAGATATATATGTAAGAATTACATGCAGGTGATGTTTAAAAAAAACAAAATTTTGGTTGTTTGAATTACATTATTGCTCATATCTTTTATTTATGTTTGCTTTTGATTAAAGGGTTAGAATAGTAATTCTATCGAATTTTGGTTGATAATGAAAATTCTATTAATATATATATTAAGGAGAAGAATCTGGAGATGATGAGTATACTTTTAACATGATCACTCTTTCGTCCCTCATCCCAAACCCCTGAACTAGTAAACTCTTTCTTCATCCAACCAAAAAAACCCAAGAAATCAACTTCCATGTTCCAACAACAATACCCAAATTATATTGAAAAGAAAAAAAACAAACAAATTTGATCTCTCTTTAGCAATCATGGTTGCTCACCCCAACGGCTCCAAATTATGAGCTGCTGCTTCATGCATTCTCTTAATTTCTTTGTGTATAAATGCCTATTTCTTTCAGGCCCCATTTGCTTTCATCGATCTTTAAGTTGGGCACAACAAACTATCTTCCATTATCACGTGAAACGTATTCAAGCACTTAGAATGATTAATTGAATTCATTTTCAAGAAACCACTCGCAATTGTTAATTATTAAATTCGTAATCAAGCAAGAGTTTTGCAGAGAGTCATAAAACTCAATTGTAAACCCAATTACCATAAAGAAATAAATAAAAAATTGTAAACCCCTAATTTCTTATTCTGATAGGCCTCGTTGGATTAGGACTTTGTATTGTTTTCTTGGGTTTCCAAAGAGAGATAAAAATACGTGGCGTACCATCCGTGTTCCCGTCATAACTAAAAATTTCTCAAAGAAGAGAGAGAAAAAAGGACTAGAGAGGAGAGAGAGAAATAGATTAAGAGGGAAAAGGATCCAGTCCAAATCTCTCCCATCAAAGGCCCAAGAGCAAGTGATCTGGACCATTGAAATTTGATCTAATGGTTACAATTATTATAACTTTTAGAGGAATCCCCTGTTTGTAGCCGTTGAATCTAATTTCAGCAGGCCAGATCACTTGATCCTGGGGCTTTGATGGGAGATATCCAGACCGGATCCTCTTCCGATTAGGACTGCCAACTGTTGAGACTGGTTTACAATATTACTAGCATAACATTAAGGTTAGCCTAGTGTGGCATGCAATGTACCATCCTTCTCAGCTGCCTGCTAGGGTTTAGATCTCTATAAATAGGCAACTCAAAGGAGAAAAACGATCATCACCACTTACGTCTCAGAACTCTCTTAAGTTTTTTTTTTTTCCTCTCAAACTATTTATGACTTAGGCATCGAAGCCCCTTTGGCAGAGACTTCTTTTTCTAAGCACAGTTCGATGAAAACAACAAATGAGATTTCAAACTTACAAATCCAGAAGATGTAAAGTGAAATGGCAATGTAATTTTTACATCTCAAAATTACCTCTCTACATTGGAGATGCTCTTTTACGTAAACTTGGTCTACTTTAAGATTGTGTAGTTATTAATGTGGCTTCGTTAATAGAGATTTTTTAGAGGTATCAGGAAAATTTTAAACCAGCCTTTTCTTCAAAAGATAACTTTTGAACCATATAATTTGACTCTTCGACTACGTTTGGATATGGGATATGGGAAAGAAAGCTTGTGAATGGGAAAGTGTTGCATTTATGAAGGTTCATCTATACGGCGCAAGGAATATACTGGTGTGGTTTCAGAACTTACCTTTGTTGGAAAACGGTGGAAACTCACCAGGAAAGTGCTCCGTGTCAGAGCCTTTGACTCAACGACTTAGTGTTCAAGTTTCGCGCGAAACAAAGCCCAAGGCTACGTTCGTGGTGACAAGGGGAAAGTGATCGATATGCTTAGGAAATTGAGGTGTTGACTTTGTGGTTGTTTGAGACAGACGAAAGTGGGACGAGAGAGAAGGGAGAGAATGAGGGAGGAGAGAAGCTGCGGGAAAATGAAAACAGTGGGTCCCGTTAGCATGCAAACTAACGCGGACATAAAATATCAAGAGTAGTATAAATTTACCAAAATACTTTTGAGGGTTGTTTTATTAATATCTCATATATTGTTGATAACATTCCACATACTCAATACACTTCAAATTTGCTTTTTCAATTAAAATTTATTTTAATGCACACCATATTACTTCCAATAATATCCTCACACTACACTCTCAACATAAACTCTACATTTTATACTGACAATCCACACTGTTTTGTGCATAATTCAAACAATTATTCTAGATATGGTGATGCTTTTGGGTTCTGCATGCACAGTGGAGCTCATCATCCCTTTCCTAGGCAATACGAGCAATCGTCGCTTCCATACTTTTCTGAACATTATATTGAAAACAATCCTAATCCACATGGGCTTTTACCCGCATAATGGATTGTTTCACCATCCTACTTGCCCTTCTATTGCTATGAAAAACACCTGCAAGGTCACAATATGAGATGGTCAAGTGACCTTAATCCCCAAATGGGAAGCTTTGTTCATTCCCATCCAGATAGGGTGGTGTTAACCGGTGGTGGCTGGTCATGTCTTCCATTTTCTAGTGGTGCTCCTTTTGTTTATGTCAAAATTATCATTGCATATTAGGGCTTACAAGTTATTTAAAATGTAGAATGTATTTAACATTGTTTAAGATACCAATAAAAAAAAAATTACATTTGACTTTCAAATGCGGTAAAATCTTCGTTATATCTCTCAATTTTGTCCACACACCAAAAATGTTTTGACTTCATAAAAACATCATTTTCATGGAAAATAATAAGGAAGTATAAGCAGCACATCAGGAATTTTGGAACTACATGTTGATTTTTTGTGTTATCCTATTATCCTCCACCCAACCCAACCGCTGCTTCTTCTTCTTCCTCTTCCTCTGCCTTGTATACAACTATTTTCCCTACTTTTTGGGGAAAAGAAAAATTAAAAAATATTTGTTCATATATAAAAACAGAGAAGATGGCACTGAGCTCATTCTCTATAAAATTCGGTTCGATTTCGTGTCCCTACGATGGCCACAGGACCGGTACGTCTCCGAGACTCCTCAAGCTCAACCATGTCCTTTCGGTTCGCGTTTCGGCCAATTCGACCCCAAAAGCCCGATTCGTCGCCCGCCGAACCGAGTCCGTCTCGGTTCCGCAGCTCCAGCGTCCTCTAAGTAGTGTTAGAATGATGTTTCGGATTCTTTCCATGCAATATCATTGCTTTGATTTCTCAATATTCGACGAATTTTTTTGATTTCGTGTAATTAGGGTTTTGTGGTTGTTGGGTTTTCAGGTGAGTATATGAGCTTGCCGGCGAGTCAGTACTCGGTTTTGGACGCGGAGAGGATCGAGAGAGTGGATGCGAATACATTCAGGTGCTATGTGTATAGGTTCAAGTTCTTTGCATTTGAGGTTTGCCCTGTTCTTCTTGTTAAAGTCGAAGAGCAGCCCAATGGATGTTGCATTAAGCTCTTGTCCTGCAAGGTGCGTGTGTTTGTGTTTGTAACTGTCTCATTTTCGTTATGGCACGTTTACTAATCCGTAAGCGCAATGGAAGGAATTGAATTGAATGGAATTGAATTGTGAATATTTAATGAGCCCTTTTGCTTCTGTTTCTTGCTTACAGCTGGATGGTTCGCCGATTGCAGTTGCGCAGAATGACAAGTTTGACGGTGAGAAAATGTTTACTTAATCTCATGGTATATGAAGAATGAGAATATGTAAGGCTTCTGTTTTGAAACAATTAGAACCGTAGCCGTACTATTTTTAGAGATGAGATTTCGGCAAGTTGCTATAGCTGTACTGCTTCAATATTGAAAACTACATTTTAGGGCTCAAAACATTTAAGTGCACTCTAATTGGGTTATTGTGGAAAAATCTTATCACTGAGCTACAAAAAAGTAATCTGAGATTGCCTGCTTAATTCCAACCAGTTGTTTCACAAGAAACAGACCAAGTTTTATGGTTAACTAACTAATTCGTGGTCTGATGAGTACCTACTATAGTCTATCATTAAGTAACAATGAAGAATTGAGTTCATTTGCAGTTTTACCAGTTACCCTCTAACCTTTTGATGTGTCACAAAGTTCTTCTATTAAGTAACAATGAAAGAATTGTGTTTGTTGGACCTTGGTTGGGTATGTGCATAACCAAGCTCAAGATCATTTGAGCTCAAATGTCTAGGTTTGAATTGGTTAAGGCACGGTGGGATGTAAATAACTGAATTTTGAATTTGTCGAGGCACGGTCGGAAGTAAATATTGGGATAAGTATTTACTAGGGAGGAAACAAACTGGATGGTTGCACTTTTGGTAAAAAGAGGTGTTCCTCTTATTTTCTTTTCATTGATTCAATCATTGTGAGATTGGTAAAATTACAAATTCTGGATGTCAATTTGGAATATATTGACTCAAGTATGTAATGGTAGAGTATGACTCAAGTATGTAATGGTAGAATTGTTCAGCCCTTAGTGTCTCCTAGGCCTGACAAGCTAAGAGTAGCGGACCTTGGGCTTGTTAAACTTACCGAGTTGAGCTTAAACTTGGATCAGTTTGATAACTGATTTGTATCCTTATCTATTTCTTTGGTAAGGTGCATTGACGACAAATAATCTTTTTCACATTTGAATTGAAAAGGTAATGCATCTACTACTGAAGTGGGTGCATTGATGCTTAAGCTTGTGGAGGTCTTTGTACGGATCTGTTTACAAATCTATATGTGTGGGTGTGTGTGTGTGTGTGTGTGTGTGTGTACCCCTCCGTATTGGAATCTAATTATTTACCCTCCGTGTGCTTTGATGCTTAATCTTTTTGGGAAATTGGCCGTTATAGAAACATTACAATTACTGATTGTGGAAATAGAAATATTGACATGAACTGCACGAACAACATAATATTGAAGGAGTGAAATGTCTAAAGTACCCCTACATAGATTTAGTGTTGATTTAGTGTAGATATCATAGATATAGTATTGATATATAGGGTAGATATTGTTGATAGGATGTTCATAATGTAGGTATACCGTCCATATGTTTACAATGTTGTTGATAATGGTAATTGATATTGTCAAAATGTGTTGCTATAGTTATTGATATATGTTCAATATGCCGTCTATATGTTCACAGTATTGTTAATATTGTTGATATTTTCCACTCACCACCATCCACAATGTTACTATCAGCAAAACCTAAAACTTAAGCAGTCACAAGCAAGAAGATCCCCAAAAGGAAGGACAAACTCAAATCGATTGGAGATTTAACCTAGAACTAGTCAGGATCGACTCCAATTCAGTGAGAGAGTTAGAGTTGCATAGAGAGAGGATTTTTCTAAGTTAGGTCATTTAAGAAAACTATTGAGAGAATCGTAGATGTGTAATGGGAAAATGAATTGGATGGAGGAGAGAGAAGCATAGTGGGAGTGACAGGTAGATATAGACATGGGTCTTGGTCTCCACCTAGTACTCAATGATCAGAGGCTACTCCAATGGTGAGAACCCATTTTTTATCGGTGGTAGAGTTGGTGGAGACAGAGAGAGAGCATAAGGGGTTTATAAGCAAGGGCTTTCTGGTCTTTGACACTCTAAAATTTTCTATACCAGCACACCCAAGTATTTCTATTCCAGCACTACCGCCCCTTTGAATCCTTCTACGACAACCAATTTCCAATCTTTTTCATAGATTTGAGAATGGATAAGTGATTATTTGTGGTTATCTATTGTATAAGTTGGGTGGTGCTATCCACACACCTTTTTTTAACCTTCCCCATACTCCTGTCAATTTTTTACCATAGGTCGAATGAATTGAAGAGGATCAAAGGACAGAAATGAACAGAGGGTGTGTGGAAGGAAAATGGGGTGTGTGGATAGCACCACCCTATAAATTTCGTCTGCACAAATTTTCTTTGTATGTTTGCTTTTGCACAGTTGTCACAGCTGCCAGGCTGTGCCAATGACTGCACAAGGATGGTGGCTGTGGTAGTGTGCAATTGAATTTGGTTTTCTTTCCAGGCGATTCAAAAAATTGCTATTAAGAGTTTCTTTTCTACTAGAGAAGTCAATCATTATGTTGAGTCATTTGATTTATGCTTTTTCAGGAGTTCTTTGACATTGATTTGGTATGGGAATGCAGCTTTTATGGTGAACCAAATATCGTGTGCTAGCAACCAAACCAACTCCTCACGACAAGAACTCAAATCAGATACTGTCATTGAGGTGGCATAAAATCTTTTTTGATTGCTGCATAACTATGCTTGTTGATATTTTACTATGTCCGGGAACTTATGTGGATTGTTTTGTGAAATTTAGGTTAGCATTGAGATTCCTTTTGCATTTCGTGCAATCCCAGTGCAAGCTATTGAATCATCTGGGACCCAAGTCCTTGAACAAGTACTAAGAATTATGCTTCCCAGGTTTATGTCACAGGTTAGTGGACATTTCTTCAATGCTGTTTGTTCAGTTTGTTCTTCTGTTTGTATTTTCTTCGAATGATTTTTGTAACATATGTAACCATGGCCTCTGAAGTATTTATTGCACTTTTTAGATTGGAAGGAAAAATAAAATCATCTTGAAATTTTTCCATTTTAGATAGGTAAATTACAATACGTTCAAACCTTTTCTTTCTCTACGTGGATTGCTAGCTTTTTTCTTTAATTTTTTATGGGTGAGTTGAGCATAAGTTTTCTGCTTTAAGAGTTGACGCATGATGTTGTATGTTCTTGGGCTGTCTTCACATATAGTAAATCTTGTGAACAGCTTTCTCAAAAACCTCTCAAAACTTGCCTTTGAAATTTGATATTTAGAGTGGAGCAGGATATGTAGCGTGGCCGGGTTTCCCATGCAAACTGAAATGGCGTTTTTGCATTTCATGTAGCATTTGATTATATAACCTCATAAACTCAAACTCAATGGTTACCTATTTGCTCATAAAAATTGTAAGATCAGCATTAGGGTTTACTGCAATATCGTAATTCTTATACTGTATGTTGGAGAGGGTCATTTGGTTTTAATATCGTGGTTTGTGCAGCTTGTGAGGGATTATCGAGCCTGGGCTTCTGGTGATAGATCAAGGCAGCCTCTTGGAACTGGCGAGATATGAAATTGTAGATGGTAGCACTGCGAGTTCTATTGGCTTCTTGTGTTGAGCCATTATGTTAGCAGTTGTATTATACGCAGTGAGAATCCTGTCTGCCAACACTTGATTTTATTATCTCACTAGTTTGGTTTGTTTGAGGAAGGAAAATGGTCAAGTAAATGTATCAAAGAAATGTATGTTCTTATTTGTTGCCCTAGCTAGATTGCGTTATCAACGTCATTGGTAACTTAGTTTAGGATACCAGACTTTGCATGAATTACATCAGTGGCTGGTTCGTTCATTTTACTAGCACTATCAGCCCTTTAGTTTAAGGGTGTGTTTGTAAGTGCATTTCAAAATGACTGAAAGCTTATGGTCAAATTGATTTTGGGTCCAAAAGCACCAGATATGCACTTCTAGCAGGAAACACTTTTAAGTGCTGTTTTAGGTTCCACTTGAAATTTTTACTATGGATTTGATTTCAAAAACATTTTCATCAAAAATATTTTTAGTCATTTTAAAAACATTTCTAAGTGCACCTTAAATTGTTCCAACTTTCCTAGCTAGAAAAATGATCCATTTCCAGCTATAGTGATTGTAAGTTGTCACTTACATAACTAATTAAACAATTTGTTTTTAACGAGGATTAAACAAATCTTAATTAAGGGAAAAAAGCAATCGAATAAATAAATATAACTCACCTACCCAAAAGCACTGACTAAAATTTTTTTGGTGTTGTTAGGAAAGAAAAACAATCTACAATTCCACATAAACAAGTATTAGCACAAAAATGGTAAATTAGTTCTCAAGCCCAGCGGTGCCTGGTGAGAGGATAAGCCCAACCGATCGAATAAATGATCACGCAGAATCAGTGATGGGAAGACAATCCCTATAGACTATGGCCTGTGTGGAATTGCTTTAAATTTTTTTAGAGAAAACGTTTTTGAGTTTTAAAAGTACTTGAAGTGTTTTTTGCAAGAAACATCTGTTATATATGTGATTCTTCCAGCAAAGTGCTTTCTTATGATGCATTTTTATTGAGAATTGGTCCAAAATATTTTCACCAAAAATGTTTTCAGTTATTTAAAAACTCTTCCCAACAAGCTCTTTATGATGTTCAATGTGATTAAGAGTCTTTCCTATATGAGAATCTTAGTGACGTCACTTGTCATGTCTCTCAATGTCAAACGATTAATTGACTTGATGAATATGATCATTCTTTATAAGAATATGACCAACATGTCACTTGTGCCCTATTGAATCATCTTTAAGTTTAATCTTACTAGTATATAAGGACATGACCTTCGATTCATAAATAAGTAATTGTTCTTCTACCAAGAAACTCAAGCTTTTCGATTCGCTTTCATTCTCTAAGTCTAACTTAGACATAAAAAAGCCCTTAGCTCATACCATGTCAGGGTGACAAAGTCTAACGTATTAGAATATGAGTATGAGAATGTATGTTATAGCCGACTATTATGATTTAAATTGGTGCAAATAAGTCTAATAGAAAGAGGCTTTGAATTGTTCTAGAAGTTATGCCAATTGAAATTCGGTTTCCATCCTAGCTAGGTTATGCACTCATTGTTGGACAAAGATTTCTTGCCAGTGTTCCACTTGGATTCTAATAGAAAAGACAAGTGGATTGAGCGTGTATGTATGGTAGGCCTCTGCTCTCACTGAACACACACTCTATATTGAATAAAAGGCTTGTTATTGATTTCAGCATTGAAGGTTTTGTCAAAGAGGAGAAGGATTGCTATAGAAGATTGATGGCTTCATCATCTTTGATCTCTATAGAGAAGGGAGCTCTATTGTGGAGTCTGATATGGCTTCTTTTTCGACTGCTTCTATAGGATAAGTTAGATACTTGTGTTTACTGAATTGTAATTTTGATACTTACATGGTTTGTGAGCTTAATCTGTTAACTTATGTTTTCGATAAGTTTAGTGTTCTACTTGGTTAGTATTATTCAAGTAATAGTTCGCTTGTGCAAATTATGTTTTTCTATTTCATTTCTATTAAATTATGCAACTTTTTATTTTTTTGTTAACCTTCTATATTCTTCTAGTTTCTAGGTTACTGTTCCTACAGAAAATACCACGTGCATATCCTGTATATGCACATTCTCTATAGTTATATGCAACTGCTCACTTGAAAACAAAAAGAAGAATCCTCAAGACAACCTGATGAAAAGTGACTGGTTTTAGTTGGGGTCACAGATGATAAATAAATATATGGCATATTCCCTTGAACAGAACTAGACAGTAACAAACACCCAAGTGAGATGTATTTTATGGACCCAACCTCACATATTCTCTTTCATTTTTAACACCAAAATCTCTATCCATAACCTAGGATTCTAATCCCTCATCCCTTCCCACCTCTAAATCTCTCTAAAAAAACCAACAATCCTTGTGGGATTGCGATGAGATTTTGTTTCCCAAAAAAGCCACAAATTCTGACCCAATTATTCTCCTTGGAAGACCAACCCCAGCTGGGTTAATTCCGAAGGACCAAAGTGTCATGGAGGAAATGATTTTCTGGCTTCTTGGAGATGGAGTTTTGCTGAAAGTTGAAACCCTAGAGAATGATTTGAGTAATTGAGAGGGGCAAAGCTGCATGGAATTGTAAGAAAATTAGACCGATTACCTAACATAACCAACTTTGTTTTCTCTACTCCGATGCATTTGTCCATATGTTAATGGACATATGTAAATAATTATTCTTGTATTACGGCTTTCCACACTCATCCAAATATGATATGGCATGCATGTCTGAAAAATCATTGCTAAATAGCCTCCACACGTTTTCATTTTAATTTTTATGTTTTATTTTTCTCGCCTGTGAATAATCAATATCATTGACGGTTTATTAAACTTAATTTCATTCCATTCATATTTAGGAAATTGTTGCATTCATTCTCTCTATTTTTTTCGAGCAGAACAAAGTACAAAGCAAAGATGACATTTCTTTCGTTATTCGAGCAATATTTTCAACGTATCTAAAATATAAAAATGGTCGCAACTTACTACTATAATCTAGTTATTCTACTTGTTGCTATCGGTCGCAGCATGCATGGGCTTGGACACGTTGGATAACTTTCGAAGCCGGGGGAAGGAACGCAATGTGTCGCCATGCAGAACCAGACGCACGTGGGCTCCCTTGTAACATTCTTTCTTTCTTGGACATACATGCACGATAGATTCAATTCAATGCAGGACACCTGTACCTTCAGAGCATGTGAAGATAACGACCCATGCAGGAGAATTCTTCGGTAATTGTTAGTATTATCCAATTCCCTCTTGTTTTGATCAATAGTTTTTATTTTTATGACATTAAAGATTGCAAAGATGATCCTTTATGACATTAAAAACCATACATGTTAATTGTAATTAAGGATGTATAATCTTCCTAATTTTTTGTCGCAAAAGGGCAAAACGAACTACGTACTGTTACATATATATACATATATTGTTTACTTAAAATTTAATGACATGAACGGCTTATTTGTTCAAGTTCTATTAATTTTATGGATCGTTCTTACGAAACATTAGTCACGTCGGAAATTGATCAAACAAATTGGTAATCATAATGTTGCAAGAAATATTGCAATTTCATGATAATCAAATGGCTAAATAATTTTAGATTAAATCGATTTTTTACAAAATGATTTTTATGAATTTTTTTTTGTAAATAGAAAGATGATTTATGAATGGAGCCCAAGAAGTGGAAGGTGAGTCATTATAAAAGTATGTGGATCGTGCGTCCGGCAAGCAGTCCTCGTGTTTGGTAAATTAATGAAGAGAGAAGATTAAGCAGTTAATGTTATGAATATTAAATTTAAAAATTAAATTATGTGAATATAGATGATTGAATTATTACTTACGTGTTGATTAACGTGCTTATTTTTTATTGGTGACACATAATGTGATTTGCAAATTTGGTTTAAAAAATTAGTCTCCCTAAATTATTCATACTAAGTAACATCTCTATATAGATACCCGATATATCTAAACTACCTATTAACAAAGGGTAATGCTAGGGTGACACAAATTTTAACCAAATTTTGTAAACCAAATTATGTGGTTGTTGATAATTTGTAAAAAAAAAATAAAAAACTCTCTCCCAATCCCACGTTCTCTTTCTCCCTGTCTCCTTCCCCTTTTAAAAACAAAAATAAAAAATGTTCACACACACAAAGTGTGTGGACGTCTGTTAGTAACGTATAATGAAAACATCTAATAGGAATGCATTTTCCAATATAGACTAGCAAGAAAAATAAATACAACATATAGTTTGGAATGAGCATTTGAAGGAATGTACTATAAATCTGAAGAGAGAAACAATTCACAGTATTCTTTTTCACGCGATATTCATATGTACAAGAGCTCAAATGCCCCCTTTCATATTTGCAAATATTTTATTATATTTTAACCAAAACCGCTCCCTTCTTGGAGTCCGGAGATGAGGATTCTACTCTAACACAACGAAAAGAATAAAGATCAAACTGCGGTTTGGTCAAGAATAATGATAGTGAGCGTTTTAAATCTTCACACATTGGTCTACAATAAAACTATTTAATTTTACTTCAATATTATTTATAGGCATGCTAGAGAACTTAAGCACCCTCCAATATCACTACCGACATCAAGAGATAGCCATATAATTAAGTACCAGCTTCAATAATATACTTTAGACTTTAGTAGTATATGAGTAATAGAAATTTAATTATGACAATTTCTCAACTTTCTTGACTTTGAGATAAAGCTAGCTTAGGGAATCTCATTCTCCAATCATAAAAGGTGCTCAATTATCTGTTTATTAACTTGTGTTTAGGGCCTTGTTTCATGCTATAGATTATCTTTGAGTTTTCAATTTTCATATTCTTCGTGTACGTAGTTTCCCAACTCTTTGGTCAAAATATATGCATATAGTCTCCCTATATGCATGTATTTTGAAGGAGATTTTTGTAGATGTAATTTAAGTGGTTTTTTCAAATTTTTTTTTTAGGTTAGTATTCACTCCGCCCAAGGTATAAAGGAGGTAATTAACTAGAAAACTAAGTACTTTGTTGTATCGGACATGAAAAAAGAGAAGAAATTGCCACTTTTATCATTGGAAAAGAAAAGAAATTGATACTTTTCTTAATATCTATATTTTTATGCGGCTTTGTTTAGAACTATTTTATGAAACTCAAGATAAGACTCGTGGCTA